GTTTGACTTTAGTTGGTAAAGGTGGCGCTAATCTACCGTGACTGTTCATGGAGTTTATGTTTTATGTTTCTGACTAATTATGTCTTTATGAACACTTTCAACTGTATCTAAAGTCAAACATATTAGTGATCGACTCAGGACAACAACTAAAAACATCACCAAACCGAGCCTCTTGCATGAAAACCCCATTTTTACTTCCACTGTTAAAGATGTGTTAACCTGGACGAGCAGCGGGGGCTGACGTGTGTATTTACTGCTGACACATGATGAACAGCACATGTAAGGACTCATGGTTCTTCCTCCTTCATGTTTCCAGGCCAGCGTCAGGTCGCTGAAGCATGAAGACGGACAGGCTTACAGGCTAGATTGGAAACATGTGCTGCTGACCTGGAAGACAGATGATACGTGCTCAACGAGGTCATCCTGTGTTTGGGGGTCTCTGGAGACCCCAGGTTTGAAGATCTGGACCAGGTTTATACTGTGAGTAAGAGTTTTCCAGAAAACTGTAGTTCATAAACAATACAATCGTTAAATAAATCAAGTTTCCCAAGGAGTTTACGAATAATGTCTATTGACTTGAGTCGTGAAAGTTTGTGACATTTAAAATATCAGAAAAAAAGTTTGGGAAACACTTTCCAAAATCTCACAAAAAGTATATGTAACGAAATATAATATAATATATCTTCTAGTTTAAATTGATTAAAAATGTACTCCTGCTTAGTTGAAGACAACGCTGATATACCGGCAGGAATTGAAGAAAGACACTCACAAAGATCTTCTTCAACAGCTCTGATGATCTTTTCTTAGTTTTAGTAACCATCTGTTGCCACCTAGTGGAAGAGGATTTATTTATGTACTGTAGTAGTCGGAGGGCCATACTTTTTCAGACAAACACCTTGGGGGCTGGACACACTAAGATGAAATAAAATGAAATAAATTAATTAATTAATCCTCACAATTTTTGAGGATTTCTTTTGGATGGTTTTGGCCATCCTGATGATGATCACTGATGTATAGCAATAGCATGTTGGATGTGTTATTATATATTTTATTCACAGTGTATTTTTGATTTTCTGCTCATAAACCATCTCTGTTGTCTTAGTAAAATTCCTTTGTTATCTTAGCCAAAACTACAACAAACAAAAGAAAGAACAAACTCTTCTCATCACAGCCAGGAAGGGAGAACATTTATGTAAAGCTAATCAGTTCTTCGTGCTTTTCGTCAACAGCTGGCAGAAATGAACGTGTTCATGTATTTTTATGAGGTAACAAATTGTTTCAAATCTGGCGTCTTTCAGGTGCAGCTGAGTGGGAGGGAAAAGAGAAGAGAGAGGAGTATTGCACAAGGAATGATTCCCTGATCAGATGACTCACTCAGACTGGAAGCTGGTCTTCGTATAGGGAATAAAGAATGAGAATAAAGGCTGTGAGAAAAAAAAAAACCAACAACCTGACTCTCCATTTATTACTAGCTTCTAATTTTGTTCCAGTCTGGATGTTCAAACAATGAACACAATTAAATAATCACTAAAATGTGATGAACAGGAGCGATGTTTATAAATGTTTAGAAAGATAATAATGTTTAAATGTTGTATTAACTGTTGATGGTATGTTTCAGATTTATTCAATTGAAAATGTAAATGTGAAAGTATGAATTTACCCCCACTGGTGGTACCCATACCACAGTTTGAGAACCACTGCTGTATATGATTTCTCTTGGAATCGAACCCACCTACTCTCTGTTTCTGGGGCAGGCGTGCTAACCACTACACCAGTGAACTACCTACCTGTTATTGGTGAGTTTCTTTCCTCAAATGCATGACATCACTGCCTGGAGCTGCTTCAGTTCGTTTCTCAATCTCAAAGCTGTTTAAAGTCACTGGAGTCACGGTGGGAAAACTGATATTCCCACATGGACACTCATTATTATTCACTCCAACTACACAATCAAGAGCAGGAAGAATGAGAGGAGAATTTTCCCAAAACATTCAAAGCTGCTAATATTTAACCTGAGCACTTTGCTTTCATCTAAACGTCAGGTCATTTTTTTCTCCCCTGATCAAACAGTTTTGTTACATAATTTCCTTCAGTAATTGTTCGTGTTGCTCGTGGGAACTTTTGAAACCTGTGGGATGGAAACAAGTGCCGTGTTGATCCATGTGAGCGGACATGAAGGTCCAACGTGCTCCAGAAAATCATTGATCGCTCCATTTTAGGACATCAGGCTTCAGAGATGGTCTGAGTTTGAATGGATCGACATCTGTTTGCACTCTGTGCCAGGACACTGTCTGCTGTACGGAGACTGGGTGTGTTCCTTTAAATACAGACACACACAAACGCTCAGGCATATGGGGAATTCACAACAATATGATCATCTTGATGACAGTGAGAAAAAAGTGGAGATAAGCCACAGATACAGTGTATAAACATTTAAAAAAATTGAATTATGAATTTGTTTAAAAGGTTTAGTATTTTGCTGCCTTGGAGTGGACACAAACTGTGTGTCGAAGTGGATCAATGTACAGCAATTTGTTATTTCTGGCCATGCAAACGTTTGCAGACAGTTTTTCTAAAGAGGAAATTCAATGTGTAAATAAAAGCCATGACTGCATTTCTACCATATGCAATTAAAAAAAGTCTTTCTTTTCTTTAAATAAGCCTTGACGTTGCTAACGTATTACTTTTGCTGTTATTCAGCCTCCAGATAGGCTAATACATTCCATTCAGTTAAACTGAGGCTGAAAACGAGTTTAATGTTATGTAATCTGTTCGCGTTCATATTTTAGTCTCACAAATGACTTGTCTGCTCTCTAGTGGTGATGCTAGGATCACCTTATACTATATGTAAATGAGAAAAGGTGTCGCTTCAGTTTATATCGAGTTATTTTTTTAAATAAATTGTTACTTCCATATGATTCATTATAGGATTCATACATATTTATGATTAGTTTTATTTTATTTGTCCTCGTGAGGAAAGGATTTTAGTAACGTAGAAGCAGGATTAACAATTAATCAAATATAAAATAATACATTTTAATGCACATATTTGCTGTTAATAAAAATAACTAAATGAATAGATTAAAACAAAAATAATTCTGATTATAATTAGATTAGTTCTGTTACAATCTTTACAAATGAACCCTAAGGGTGCGACAATAACTTTGCCACAAGATGTCAGTCTTGAACGGTGAATTATTATTTACTCGGACCACACAATCAAAGACGCTTTCACCAAATACATTCCGAGAAAACGCGGTGGGATTTGTCCAGACGCAAAAAGAAAAGTTATAAAAAATAAATAAAAGAAAGATAGTAATGCATGAAAAGCTCAGGATTCGGAGCTCCCCTGTGACATGACGAATTAAAAAGCAGTTTTTATCTCTGCAGTTAGAATATTTTTATTTTTTTCAGCTGGTGCTTTGTATACTTTCTTCTCTCGCATTGCTTAAATTTACTGGCATGAAATAAACACCAAATTTAAAAACCCTTTTTAAAAAACATTATTATTAAAAACAACTCCCGCTATTCAGGATAACTTTAAATAACCTATGGGGGAACTTCAGGATTTTTATTTTTTCTGGCTCCATCAAGGTTTTTTTTTTGTGATAAAATATATAATGAATAGTATTAATTGTTTTATGTTTCACAGGAGAACATCTCTGCCGAGGTGCCGCCGAACTATACTATACTAAACTATACTAAACTCAGTTGTGTTTCTGAATGTCTCCTTGTAAACGCGTCAACATCGTCATCAGCATAATCTTCCTCCTTCTCGCGCGAGTGTGACGTCAGACGCCGACATAGTTAGCCACGTGCTTGAAAAGCCGTAGGTGCAGGGAGTTAGGCCTAATGGCGGCTTGGCCTGGGCCGGATGAACAACGGAGGAAGCGCGGTAAGAGACTTTTGGACGTTTATTCACTACTGTTGGCGTTTTGACTCAGTATTTTAGTGGGAGAAAACCTTTATTCATTTAGCTTTTGCTCTGCAGGAGCTAATTTAAAAATAGTTAACCCAGGTAAGAATATGTTTGGAGAATGTGTTGACTCATTGAGTCTCCCTTTACCATGCATATGTCGATTTAAGTGTCTTCTACAGTGACTTTGTTAAAGAAACCATTTACATTGCATTAAATTTAAATCACCATTGTTTCAAATTAACAGAATTGGTGGCATTTCTGTGCATGGAGACCAGGTGAAAGTTGTCCAGTGTGAGTGAACCCTTGAAAGATAAGGTGAGCTAGCTGTGCAGTCAAACTCTTTGGCAAATGTAGTGCTCACAACTTAACTTCTGTACTTAACATGACTCTTCTCTGACTTGGGTTTATTTTTCAGACTGATCATCTGAAGATCTTCAACACAGTAGGGATCGTCGGTTTCTTTTTATGCTTTGTGGCCGCTGTGCCCTGCTGAGTGTGTGTGTGTTTGAGTATGTGTATCATAGCAGTACCAACAACAAATGGCCACATTTCTTTCTGGTTTTCCTTTCTTGAGTTTATAGTCTGTGGTATCTGGGATTTGGAGCAAGAGCCATAAATGTGAGGATGGTTAGGTAGTCAGTAAAGTATTACAGGTGGCTGGCTCTCTGCTCATGGTGGCTGTGACTCTGGTCCCTTTTTAATGGTGTGGTTGTCAAGCTGCTGAGCAAGTAGGTAAAGGTTGGCTCTGGGCCTGATTTCTGACCACGGTGGTTCAGTGTTTGTAGTTGATGGAATGTCTGCAGTGTGATATGGAGTGTGTGAATGAGTGCAGTGATTTTGAGCTCAGTAGTTTGTCGTTAGTGTGTGTGTGTGTGAAGCTGCTATGTGTTTTTTTTGTGCAGTAACAATTATTACTTTCTAGGTCCTGTCGACAAAGGGTGAGTCCAAAACATTTATTTATTCCTCTCCGGATGGCTATCCTGTCGGCCTCCGTCTGTCCCTGTCCTTAGATTTCTAGAGTCAGGAACATAGAAAATGTTATTAACAATTGTATATTTGTCATTTCTCTAATGTTATTATAATTATAATTGAACTATGGCTGAACATGTGGTGCAAAATAATTGTTCTGGGCGGCTGGGAGGTGGGGTTTCTTTTCAGCTTTTCCTGGATGAGGAGGACCAATGTGCAGAAATGGTAAATTGCGTTTAGTTGCGCGGTTAAAATGTGACACAAGGTAAGTGACGCTAGGTCTGTTCTTTTCCAGCCGCTGTGCTAACCTTACGCCATGACCTTTTTTTTCCAGCCGCTGTGCTGATATGTAGGTCTGTCCTGTCTGCTTTGACTTTTTATGAAAATCTTGCGTCTAAAATGGCAAGTTGTCGGTCAAAGTTGCGTAGACATAATAGCCACTGTTCAGTCTAAAATATGTAAAACTAAAATGTCATACCATGTGTATGACAATGTTGAGAACAGTAGCAGCAGACTTTCTCTATTCTGTACCATCTATCTACTCTGGAAGTGTGTGTGTGTGTGTGGGACCAGATGTTGAAACATGGCTAGACTGATATATTTGTCCTCTCTGAGGACATGGTTAGCTTAGTTTGAACTGTGAGGATGTCTTGTTTTTGGCCACAGTGTCAAAATGGTGACATCATGTAGTTGGTAGAGTGCCATTGTGGTGCTTCCTCTTGGCTGCAAGGCCTACCTTTTCCTGTCCTTTCTTAGTGTGGCCTTTGTAGAACATTTTTACCTTAGTTCACTGGCAGTTACATATTTATAAAATCCGAAACAATTTTGGATCTCCGATTTGCGTTTCGTTTCCACGTTTTGGAAGTTGCGGTCGTTTTCCACAATCCTGGACGTTGTGATCGTTTCAACAATTTTGATGGCCCGTTTGAAGCCCTCTTGTCACAATTTCGGATGCCATCGTTTCCCGGCTGTCCTGTTGCTGTCCTGTTGCTGTCCAGAGTGACCTGACCTGAATATAAGACACAACTATCAACACGGACGTCCAGCACTCTGAAAGTCATGTATATTCCTTGCCTTTGTAACTATTGTCAATGTATATCTTTGTATTGTTTACCCATGTAACTATT